CACAGCCCACCGCCCTCACTGCACGGCTGTACTGTGACCCAGGCTGCCTACTGAGGGCACAAACCACCCCCGGGACCAAGTGACCTGCCCAGGGCAAGCACGTGTGCATGGTCACTGGGGGTCTCTGCGGACGCCTGAGGGGCCCTGGTGGTGTAAACGGCTAATACGCGGCTGCCTACTGCAAGGCTGGCTGTCCGCCCGGACGTGCCTTGGAGGAAGGCCTGGCAAGGCGCTCGGAAGGCTCAGGCCCGACAACCCTTGCACACAGGGCTGACTGACGGCAGGGGTGCCGCAGGGCGGAGCCGACTGGATGGCACCGGCTGCTGCTGTTTGGGGTGGGAGCTTCTCTGCCGGAGGCTAAGGGCCGAGGGCCGTCTGAGCTAACCGAAGCCGCACTTATGCAGCACTCGCTGTGCTCAAGGTCTGCAGACATGAACTCCTCCAACCTTCCGCCGAGGCATGCCTGGAGCCCAAGGCCACGAGGAGCCAGGGCCGGGCAGCCCTGACCCGGCCCGCACCTCCCAGGGGAGGGCGTGCATGGACCTCGCCCCGGCAGGAGCTGGAGGGGCCTGCTGATGGAGGTCGAGGCCCAGAGCCGCCCCAGCCTCACCTGTAGGTGCGCACGAGCTTGTCGGCATACGTGCGCATGAGTAAGTCGTCCAGCATTTGGTCCACACAGGCCCCGATGTGGCGCTCGGGGACGCCCCGGAGCCGGGCGTACAGGACCAGCGTCTCCCGCGCCGTCATGTGGTCCAGCAGGGCGTCACACTGCGGGCAGTAGCCGATGCGCCGCCGCACCTGAGGGGACACGCCGGGCGGGAGCCTGAGAAAGGCTGCTGCCGACAGCCTGGCCCATCAGCCTCCAGGAGGCCGGTCCAGACCCGGCCTCGGCCCTGCCCCTCGTGACAGACCAAAGATTGGCCACCAGGGCCCGAATCTTACTATATTTAGGCGGCAGGGCAGGTGGGTGTTGGGCGTGGCCCAGCAATGCAGCCCTTGGGCAGGACCGTGACCGCAGGGCAACAGGGCTGGCATCTCTGTGCACTGGTGCTGGGGCTGGGACCCACTCCCCTCGCCTCAGTGCACAGGCTTCTCCCGTCCGTCCGTCCGTCTGCAGAGGACGCTCGCTGTGGTGTTTCCCTAAAACCCATCTTTGAGACACGCAACACCAGGTGGATGTTTGTGAAACATCTGAACAAAGGCTGCTGGTGCCCCCACTGACCGCAGGCCTGGGGGCATGGGATCCCGTGAGCCGGCCGCTGTGTGCCTGCTGGCCCCGGCTGGACACAGGTCCCACGTGCGTGTGTGCTCCCCGTGGAAGGCCATTTTGGGATGGTTTTGCTCAACAGTCTCATCCCATGCCTGGTTCTGCATCCTGCTTCTTGAACTCTGTCTTCAAGGCCCTTTCAGGTGGCAAGTGTGGGCCTGCCCCCGTGAGGTGTCACTGCCCCGGGAGGCTCCAGGTCTGGAGTCTAGGTAGCAGTTTCAGAAGCTCGGGCATGTTTGTTTCCACGTTTCCACCATGATAAACCTGCAGCAGGCCATGCTGGTGTGTGCCCACAGCCAAGCGTGCCCATAGCGTAGACGGTGAAAAACGGGGGGAGCTAGCTGTATAAAATGACCCATGTTCTCCCTTTCCTCCACTGTCTGTGTGAGAGGTGGACGGCCCTGGATCAGCCGGCCCTGACAGACACCACGGCATCTTCTGGAACTAACCCTGGAAATGATAAACCACCCCATCTGCCGTATGCTGTGGGTTACACAGACCCTGCCCATCCTGTTGGATGTGAGAAGGGACTGTGCATGGGTCCGAATTCCAGGTGGCGAGTTGCTGGCACCATCTGGGGGTCTGGACTCCACAATGTCTCCTACCCCTGGTGGCACACTGGTTAAAGCATTCAGCTGCTAACCCGAAGGTCAGCGGTTTGAACCCACCAGCTGCTCAGTGGGAGAAAGATGAGGCCGTTGGCTTCTGTGAAGACTGACAGCCTTGGAGACCCTGTGGTGCAGTTCCACTCTGTCCTGTAGGGGCGCTGTGGGTCAGAATGGACTCCAGGCAGTAGGTGTGGTTTGGGCTTTGCTTCTGTGATGATTGACAGCCTGGGAGACGCTGTGGGCAGTTCCACTCTGTCCTCTAGGGCCGCTGTGGGTCGGAATGGACTCCAGGCAGTGGGTGTGGTTTGGGCTTTGCTTCTGTGATGATTGACAGCCTGGGAGACCCCGTGGGGCAGTTCCACTCTGTCCTCTAGGGGCGCTGTGGGTCAGAATGGACTCCAGGGCAGTGGGTGTGGTTTGGGCTTTGCTTCTGTGATGACTGACA